GGGTCGAACCCGCCCTTTCTTAGTTCCCCCATCACCTCCACCCCATTGTGGTTGGCATCGGGGCTCCGGCTCGGAGCGTGGCTGTGCCCTTTTGCAAACAAGTGAAGGCTGGGAAGGGCATCGGGTGGCGGCGGGAGGCCGGTGGCGCTAGGACTGGAGCGAGGAGCGCGGCGGGAAGGGAGGGGGCTCGCTGGACGCTGGCCAGCTGTGAGGGAGGCTGGCGTGGTCGCGGCGCTCGGCCGCCCAGGATCACTCTGGCAGCCAGGAGGAGAGGATGATCTGACAAATCCTTTGGGAGCCAAGTCCGGTTGCTGGAAGGCACCGAGTGGCACCTCTGGAAGCTTTGGGGGTGACTGGCCAAAGGCAAAGTCAAGTTGTGGGGGTTGGGAGGCTGCTCGGGCAAGCGAGTCATTGTTCAGGCAGCACAAAACATTCCCGGTCCTCAAACCAGAATTGAACTCCAAAATCACTTTTTCTCCTTGGTGAATTGCTAACGGAGCTTCCAAGGTAAAGTGTCTTCGAGATTCCATTCTTGCTGGGGCGAAATGCTGGGTTTCTGTATTCTTCTACGGCCAATGCTGTGAACCTATCTGAGGATTGCGGAGGTCAGTTCACCAGTATGGAGGCCTCAGTTGTGTATTGCATGGGACGGACAGATTTTCAGAGTAGCCAAATATGCGGCGATTAAGCAAACTGGAATATTCTGACAGTGGGAGAGGCTTGCAGCAGTATTTCTGAGGACGTAGGTTGTCATCTTTGTGGAATCTCGAGGTAGCTGAAATTAGATTGTCAACAGATCCCTTACTCATATATCTCTTAGTGTTCTAGGCAGCTGTTCTGCCACACTGAACATGCTGCTTTGTGTCATAGATGGGTCTGTATGAGCCTAATGAAAGCATGGTGATTGGATTTAAATAGGTCTTAAGAAGTGATATCATGGTGGATATTTCATTTAAAGACTCACATTTTGTCAGCTTAGTCGTAATAAAATCTTAGCTTGTGTTCTCTAAGAAGTGAGGTGACGCTTTCTAATTGGTATGGCTGTTGGGTTATGAGGCAAGTGGAGTTGATAGTGTACTGTTTAAGGGCGGAATATGAAGATGGCACACATGCTGGCATTGTAAAGCAGATCTGGATGTGATCAATAACCGAATTCAGCGTGAGCTTGTAAATCTGTCTTTTCCTGCATCCTTGGTGTGGACAGGACCTGGAGAGCGGGATGCCTGCCTTCTTTGTGTCCTTTGCTTCCATTCAAACTCCATTTCTTAATGGATAAATTCCTTTAACTTCTTAGGTTGAAAACTTAAAATTTTTTCAGATAAGATTTTCTAAGAGAAGTCAAACTTAATTTTTTTTGTTTTTATCATTAAGCTTTCCTTCTGAAACTTGGTTGAATCAAAAATGGCTTCAACGTTAATATGAGAGAAATAGAGAACATCTGTTTTGAAATTCCATGCCTCATTTAAGAAATATTTCTA